CATCATTTTTTTAATCCCTTGTTTCTCCTCTTAACAGGAAATTATGTTACTAATTCCATGAACTCTTCTTAAACAAGGAGTTGCATATGGACATAATCTTTTTGTACACTTGGGTAGGGAGGCTAAGCTAGGCTAGGCTAAGTGTTGCTGCTGGCCTTCTGAACAGAGCAGAGCAACATTAAAGAAAGGGCATACACATGGTTGTGAAAATAAAAAGAACCATTCATAAGTAGTAAAAGATGGGTTCACTAAGCATGCTTAACAAGGATGTTAAGTGATATTAGTTTCTTTTTAAAAAGTTACTTAAAAAACAGTTCTTTTTTTTTATCTTGTCCTTTCACACTGGCTCCATTTTTATTTTTATAAATTCAATTTCTTTCTCCTCCTTTTCACTTGCTTTATTCTGTCTCCCTTGATTGCTTTTTTCTGACATCTCCACTAGTTCATTTTTCTCTTCTCTTTTCTTCTATTCCATCCCTTCTCCCTCTAATCTTTTCTCTTTCTTTCTACTCTTATTGTCGTATTCTTTCTTTACTTTTTCTTCTACCCTCTTTCAAAGCACCTCTCTCATTTTCCTCTGCATTCCTTCTCTGACTCTGAACTTCTTTTAAAATATTTCCCAAAGTTATTGAGAAAATTTGTTGTAGTAAGAAAGCTTGTAAAAAAAAACAAAAAAACAAATCATCAGAAGACTTATGTTACAAACTGGGCAGCAGAGTTTCATCTAGGAACCTCTACTTTTTCGCAGGAAAACAGCATAGCGTAATGAAAAAGCCACAAACTTAATAAAAATAAAGTTATCGTCAAAATGTTTGTTATTATTAAGATGAAAGACCAAAGTATTTTTTAATTATTTTTTGAAATTTTTTAATCCTTTCTAACACATTTGAAATTGTAGTTAAAAATCTTGTTTTGCTTATGTATTTGGGGTGGCGTAATTACACATACTTTTTTTCGTGCTTTTTTTCCAGTAAAAACACATTGATTTTGAAATTCTTGCAAAAATCAAATAATTTAAACTTTCAGGACTTATTCACAAATGAATGAAATTATTTTTGAAATTTTTTATTTTAGAAAATTTTGGTATATATATATATATATGTTTCCTCCCACTTAATTTCATGGAATTTCATGAAAGGCCTATTTCCTGAATTTTTTTTTTATTAGTTAAAAGTAGGATTCCTTGGAGAATGTAGATTATCTAATTTTTTTTTTTTTTTCAAACTTTCATTATTCTAACTGAAAATCTGCTCTGAATTGTAAAATAATAAATGCAATAAAACCATGACATTATTAATTAGAAAAGCTTTTGTAAATAAGTTATATTAAGGGCACTATTGTCTATAGAAATAAAATTTTTTTGATTAAGAATGAATTTTTACAAGAATTTTTTCATTTTTTAAAGAATTTTAATTATAATAATTTATAGATCAAAAATTGTTTAAAATTCTGTAATTGCGCTAAAGCATTTTCACAAAGCATCTTCAAATGTAACTAAAAGTCAATAAAATGTTAGATAATTGCTGAAAATATGTTAATTTGTAAAAATCACTAGGTAGTTAAAAATGAAAAAAATGCCTTTGCTTTGATTTTATAAATTTATGTCATCTCTGATCAGCCATACTAGCTGTCATCACTTCGTCACTCAATCGTCCATCAGTTATTGCCTCAGATAAACAGGACTAATCATTAAGAAATTCTTGTATATTACATTTTTTAAGCTATAAGTGAGTAATATTTATTTCAAATTAGATTAATTTAACTTTAAATTTGCTAATTTTATTCAAATAACATGTCACAAATATATATTTTATTTTAGGAAGGTTTTTAAAACCAAAAATTTTGTTTTGTTTACTAATTTCTTAAAATTAAAAAAATGGCTGCTTTTAAAAAAAATTTGAAAAATCTAGCAAATATTTGACATTCCAATCTATATCTGAAATACACCAGAATATTTTACTTACTAGAAATAATAAATTTAATCATTTAACTTTCAATTAAAGCTAAAATGAAATCTTCAAGAATGATTTTTCATTTTTAAAAATTCATTTTAAACCTTAGGTATCAAAAATTTATGCCAAAACATGGAGGTAGCTAATTCTGCCTTTTCCTCTCTTCTTTTACCAAACTCTCCTTATTTTTAATAAGAACAAACCCCATCAACATAAGTACATATTACATGTGTGTTTACTTGCTGCCAGATCCTTTTTTCCCCCCCAACATCTCTTTTTCTATTGTTTTAAGTGCTGCAAGCATTCAAACCATTAGCAAACAACAAATAATCTATAGAAATACACTCATCAGTGAAAAGAGCATCTTGAGAAATATCTGTGTACTTTCAAAAATTGGAAAATATTTTTGGTTTCAATGAAAGATCGTATTGATGTGAACAGTAGTTATTCAACAAGCTTTGCTGTATCTGGCACTTGGCCACAAATTGCTTTCACTATTTCAAGGTAGTCACCTTGGGTGATTTATCTATCATTTAGGTGAATCTTATTTTAAATTTCAATCAGTGTCTTCTTTTGAGTTGAATAAGATACTAAGAGATAAAAAATAACAGAAACAAAAACAACAGTTGTGGACTGCTATGCGATGTCTACCTTACTATATGGAAGTGAATACTGGGCATATTTCTTACAGATAAAGAAAAGATTTAAAACAATTGAAGTAGGATTCAATACTGAGAATACTGAATAGATTATGTGAAAAACAATGAAGATCTAAGGAGAATAGTAACATCAAAGAAATTATTGACAACAATAAAAATTAAGGGTATATATAAAGACAAGAAATTATTGACAAGTGAAATTGAGGGGATATATAATGAGGAAAGAAGGCTTGGAGAATTTAACATCTAACTTTTTCAATTAGCACAGGTCATTTTTTGTGCAGAAAATGAGGACACACAAATATTTCCTGTACTAAGGAAAAAACTATTTGATTAAATACCAAATGTTTTTAATTTATGTTACCTAACATTTATTTCAGCAAGTTTTGGCTCTTGAATTGTATGTTTTGCATTTACAACAAAAGGAAAATGGATTGTTAGTGGTTAGGAATGAAGGCAAGCATTACTGAGAGAATAGAAAATAGCATTAAGCTGTACTAGTAGTGTTCATATTGAGCTTATATCAGTATATATTTATTATTATTTTTAATTGAGAAGTTACAAGAAGTATTTTATTAATGCTGTAAGGAGAGGACAGGACAGTGACCATATGATTGTAATAGTGATGATGCTAGTGTATACCTGCTAATATTATTAAAATAGAGAATGGGGAAAGGACTTTTTTTTTAAGTTGAAGGATGAGGCTATCAAGATGATATTTCTCCACAACTCATGAGCAGAGATGTCCACTGTGTCAACACCTTGGGGACATGTCAACTGGTCAGGGTCAGGTAACTTATAAGCAAATCTGTGATGCTAAAGAGGATATTTAGATATTTCATCCTTAACCTAATTTGACCATACCATGAAACGCTGAATCATATGGCATAATGCAGATAATTATAACAAAAATGATTATTGGCTTCAGCATCTCAGGCTGTTTGTGACAGATGTTAGTGTATACAATGCCTACTTTGAATCTGATAAAAGCTTACTTGTAATTAAAATTACAATAACAGCCAACAAAATAGTACACTTTTGTCCATATGAACCATGAAAAAACCTAGTTATAATATTCAAGCCCTTAAAAATGAAAAGGTAAATTTAGAATTCTGTAATAAACTTGAGTTGAAATTGATGTCTATACATCTTGATCAAAACAACATAGAGGAATCAAATAATTCTATCATATCTTCATTAGCTGAAATGCATGAGACCATATTTCATTACATAGAAGTGAAAAAAGATTCACTGAAAGCATGGCAATCCTGAGTTCAAAAGCTTGATACAAGAAAGAAACAGAAGAGGAAAAAAAATGTAGAGGAAAATGTTAAACAATAAACAAAGAAAATAAAAAAAAAAACAAAAACTAGTTAACTATTTGAAAAACCAATATCTCAAAAAACCTATTTTTCTGAAAAATTGTTTTAAGAGAAAGATCTTGTACATTTCAACTGAAAGCAGTACTGGCTGCTTGGTCAAAGAATGCCACATGTTTCTTTATGAGGAAACAACTAATATTATTGTTTTAATTTAACAAGACAAAACATGCAAATTTTAACACCTATGATCAATTAAGTTCAGAAGTTATGAAAGCCTTTCCTCATTAGGGCATTTATTATTATTATTATTCTCATTCTCATGGGTACTAACTGGTGACTTTCATTGGAGATCAAGTGACAGCAAGTTTCCTCAATACTCTCTTCAATACTACTTCTTAATACTTTAGTTTATTTTAGTAACACTGTTGTCTGGATAGTGGATAGTTCCAATTCTTCTAACCCCTTTACAAAGTAGTTTGGGATATATTCCAGGTGCTCTGATAGTAGTGGACACTACTGACACATATATTTTATATTATTATTATTACAGCCACAGTGAGGAGATTGTACTGTAGTGATGTTAGCAGTAAATTTTCAATTTACTAAGAATAATTTTGTCTGGTGCATGGCTAACACTAATGGAGCTCCGAGAGAAATTGATCTGTGTAACAAGCTTGTTAACATATACAGTAAATTCAATGTGATACCATTTTATTACTGAACGAATTTTAATCAGTCTGTTTCAGCCAAACTTATAATATTGAAATTGGCACATGTTTGATAAAGTACTCATTTAATTTGGATTCTGTGTGTGTAAATCATTGATTTTAATTTTTGGATTCTGTTAATTAGTAGAGAGTGAGTTAAAAATGGGGGGTTACATATTTTTTTGGTTCAACATCAATTGCATTTAAAAAATTATTTCAAGTCTATGTAACAGATTTGCACACATTATATTGATTATGTGGCTAACAATAAAAAAAACATTTTAAAAGGATATTGACTGATTTCTTTTGAGACAACATCTATTTTCGGGCATATTTACAAGAAATATCAGGTAGCTAACCATGATCAAAGGTACATTCTTGGAACTATTTAGCATGATTATCAATTTTTTTTTTTTTCCATTTCAGTTTTACTCTCCAATTCTCTTTTTTCTCCCTTTCCTTGCCTTTCTCTTGTTTTCCCTTTTCTCACCTTCATTTTTTCTCCCTTTCCTTGCCTTTCTCTTGTTTTCCCTTTTCTCACCTTCATTTTTTCTCCCTTTCCTTGCCTTTCTCTTGTTTTCCCTTTTCTCACCTTCATTTTTTCTCCCTTTCCTTGCCTTTCTCTTGTTTTCCCTTTTCTCACCTTTCATTTTTTTCTCCTTTCCTTGCCTTTCTCTTGTTTTCCTTTTCTCACCTTCATTTTTCTCCTTTCCTTGCCTTTTTCTTGTTTTCCCTTTTCTCACCTTCATTTTTTTTTCCCTTTTCTTGCCTTTTCTTCTTTTCCCTTTTCTCACCTTCATTTTTTCTCCCTTTTCTTGCCTTTCTCTTCTTTTCCCTTTTCTCACCTTCATTTTTTCTCCCTTTTCTTGCCTTTCACTTTTTCTTGCTTTTTTTCCTCCCTTTCCTGTTTTTCCTTTTTCTCACCTATCTCTCTCTTCTTCTTTTTTCACATTCCTCTCTTCTTTTTTCACATTCCTCTCTCTTCTTTTTTCATACCATCCTCATTTTTCCTTTTTTTTTTTTTTTTGCCTTTCTCCTTTTTCTTGCCTTGTCCTCAACTTTCTTTTTTTTTTTTTTTTTTCCCTCGCCTTTCTCCTTTTTCTCTCTCTTTCCTTCGCCTTTCTCTTTCCTTTCCTCATCTTTCTTCTCTCATCACTCTCTTATCCAAACTTTCCTGGAGGCTAAATTAACAGCAGTAAACCAGTCACTTTTTACCAATGATAATTTTCTATTTCTGACCACCCATAAAGAACATCATTTCAATATGATTTCATAATTTGTGTATAAAGAGAAAAAGTACAAATATATAAAATTGTAAATTTCAATTTTTTGAAAAAAAAAATTGCTTTTTGGAGTCAACTGAGAAGGTTTATGTTGCCATTTTAAAAGTCTGAAATTCATGAGCAATAAGAGAAATGATACTAGCTAAAAAATATCACTCCATATTGCATATTATTTTATTGGTTTGACATTTGATTACAGGACAATATAACGCTGTTGTTGCCTTTGTGTTCATGTGCTATTTGACAAATCTTAAGAGAATATGTTGTACTTTTATTCAATACTTGTCAATTTTGGATAGAAACGTTTGTCTGAAAACTACCTTTGTGCTACACTATTCTAGTAAGAATATGTTGTCTTTAATCTATTATGCAATAGCCTCAATAAACAATATGTTTAGTTGGAAGTTGTGATAGTGTGTTTATGCAATACTCAATAATTCTTGAAAGAAAATGTTCATGTATAAGTTGCTGAGTTCTCTAATGCAATTGTCTTTGATACTTGCAATATGTTTGCCTGAAATTTATCTCAGTGTGTGCTACATGGTAATTCTGGAATATTCTTGAAAAAAACATTTCTGTAATATTTAATAAAAATCATATATTTCATTCTTGAAATTGTGTTGGGCAGATGGGTGAATTGACTATTACAGTGTATATGATATTAAACAAGCAAAATAAAAATGAAACCGATAAAATTAAAAATGTGAAGTTCCTTGCCTCTGAGAGCCATGTAAATCAAGCAGAAAGTATCATGAAGCATTAAAAATGTGTTGGGAGGACAAAGTAAGTAAGAAGGGTTAAAAAAAAAATAAGTCTGTCCTCAGTTACCTCCCTTACTTAGGAGAGATCAGTAAATATTTCCTTATGTCACAAGTTTCTGATTTCTGCTATCCACCTCTCTCTCTTCATACTATCAGCTTTATCCCTATTCAGTATAGAGACAACCTTACCTTTAACACACTACATTACTACTGCCATCAACATATGTAATATGTTAGGTTTTATTATGCAAGTCAATATTTGTTAGTATTAACTAAACAATGGAAAAATTTTTAGGATATATTTATATAATTATATTTTGTGAGTTTCACATACATAGCACTGTTCAATATTCCCTTTGCAATCATCAAAGATGAGAAAAAGTTGCAACATATCGTACTCCATAACATGATGCCAGGTTTGGGTCTGTGTGTCATGGGTGAATACACTCAGGAATATGTTGCCCCCAAGGTCTGTCATTCATGCTAGTGATCATCACTTGCATGAAGGCTGAACTCGCTCAATTACCAGACTACTACAGAACACCATTCCTTCCACAAGTGAAATCCTTGTAACACCACTGGTGATGATCTTTGTGGTAGTACAACATTTTCTTTGGGCTTTAAAAAACAGACATTTTAAAAGTATATATAAGTATATACAAAAATAGATTAAAACAAAGGAAGAAGAGCAAGGTAAGATTAAAAAAAAAAATGACTTACTATAAAGTGACGGATCAAAAATAAACAAAAAACAAACAAGAGTTAACCACTTAGTGCTCTTCAGAGCTAATAGATGACAAAAACAATCTTATGCATTATATGTTTTTGTCCTTGATTGGCTCTGAAGAGTGAGGAGTGATAGCTAGTTAGCTCTTCTTTATTTTTTTCTCCACCACTTTACAGTGAGTAATTTCTTTTCTCATTTTTGCTTTTCTTTTCCCTTTGTTTTATATATTTTTGTATATATTTATATATACTTTTAAAATGTCTATTTTTGTACCACTGTAGATGTGCATATGGGGGATATGGCATAATCAGAAGTCTGACTAAAGGTAGGTGTGCCTATAGTTCTACTCTAAGTAAATGGTCCATGTTAAAATACTTGGTGCATTTACTGTGATCTATGCTGTAGATGCCATGTGGTCTGCTTACCATCCTTACAATGTGCTGATCTTGGCATCCAGATCCTGTCTTTCATAGTTTTATCAAATTGCGATAACACTGTTTACCCTAGTATGATATTTTGTTAACAGATGGCATTACCCTCCTGGCTGTATTATCAACAAGTCACGTCTACAATATGGCAGATATACATTTGTCATTCAAGGAGCATAAGGTTATTGTAAAGTCGTATTTCAAATTTGAGAATGTTGTTGAAGTCCAAAGACACTAGAAATATATATTTAGAACACATCCTCGAACATGTTTGACAATTTCATGGATTTGTGATAAGTTTAAAACACATGGTACTGTGTGTGATGTGCATTAAAATCCAGCAGACCACCTATAACAACAAGTGCTTCTTCCTTGGTTATGGTGTTGGAACAGTTCACATGTTCACCACAGAAGTCTACTGTACAATGTGTATGTGGAACAGGAGTAAGCAGTACAAGCATATGGTGTATTCTTCAAAGAGCTAAGTGGAATGTTTACATCCCAAGATTATTGCATGCAATTACAGAAGACAATCTGAATTGAAGAATTCATTTTTGTGAGTGGTTTCAACACATGGTAAGTGAGGATGAAGAACTGGTGAGAAAGATTGTGTGGTCATGTGAAGCATAATTTAAGCTAAATTGAACAGTGAACTGGCATAATTATGTTTACTGAGCACTGGAAAATCCTCATGTGCATGTGGGCAAAGCAGTAAATTTACTGGGTGTCAATGTTTGATGTGAAGAGTCATCTAGAGGTTTAATAGGACCATTTTTCTTTGAATGTACTGTTACTGGCCAAGCATACCTAGACATACTACGTACATCCATATTACCTGCCATGTATGAACTTCATGGAAATGATGAAGACATATGAGCTTATCTGAATGAGAATTTGCAAGGACACTGGCTAGAACAAAGAGGTGTCAGTTGATTCACCCCATGTTCTCCTGATTTAACACCTGCAGATTTTATTTATGAGGGACTCTAAAGGATGTTGTGTACTACAGAAAACCAACTACATTGGTGTCCTTTAGTCAAAAAATTGAAAATGCATTTGCAGTAATCCCACTGGACACTTTAGCCAAGGTTGTCCAAGAACTGGTTTGCCATACTAATAAATGTTTGGAAATGCCACCATTTTGAACATCTCTTGTGATTGTAAAGTTCAAAAGTAACTTGTATAAATCTCATGATGTCTGAATAAATTTAGCATTAGAATATTTATATAAGTTTCTTGAAGTGTATATACATTTTTTTTTGCAGACTCTGTATATACTAGCAAATTAGCATAGAATATAATGTAACCGGGTTAAAATTGGCATTGTCTATAAGGGTGTTACAATTTTACTTTCTATCAGTGTATACAAATACACATGCTGCACATACACACACACACGATTTGTGTCACTGCTCAGTACAAATATTTACAAATTCTATTACTACCGCCAACTTCACCAGTATATATATATATATATATATACATATAGCACCATTATTCCCTTTTGAATAGTGTCAGCAGCATAATCATTGCCCACATCATTACAAAAAATGTTTATACACTGATTTTTTTTTTTTTGTTTTATATTGGTTTTAAAATTTGATTGAAAAGGAGTCACCATTACATTTTCAAGTTTTCATTAGTTAGTTTCTATTTTTCGTCATTTTTTTTTAACTAATTTTCTTTACTTTGGTTTTCACTTTCATGATTTTTCTCCCTCTTATCAAATCTTACTTCCTTCTATTCCCCTCATTTGAAATATGCTTCTTTTGTTTGGTTGAAAGATGTAAACTTTCATAGGCATGCCATACAGCATCTTTTATAGCAATTTATATGGTAATGTCCATCTCTGAGGAAAAAAATAGTACTGGTTTACATGATACCAGTAATATGAGAAAAAAAATCCTTAACCTAACATCATGCTTCTCCTTTACCCATCACGACAAAATATTGTCATGCAATCTGGCATTCTGACAAACTGCAAGGAAAAGTAGATTTATGCCTTTCCCTGGCAAAGTGAACATATCTCACCTTATTCAGAATTTGAACCCTGTGATTTGTGTTTTCTTGCCCATATTCACTGTTGCAAGTAATGTTAAAATTAAAATTGTAGAAAAGTTAATAAATTCAACAGGGTGACAGTGAGTGGCTTCTATGAAACAGTCTATCCTGTGGTCAAGTTCCTGAATTCACATATATGCACATACAAAGGAAAAGTTCTTCACCTGAACCACTTCCCAAAATATGACTACATATTATTTTTATTTTGTTTTACTAAAGAGCCAAGAAGCAGCATCCTTTATGTATGTTTTTAAAAATGATATATATAAAAGATGCAGGTGGAGTATCATTTTTTTTTTCTTTGGATAAATAACTGTTTTTAAGTGACATTAGAAACAATTGTTTCTTGTGTTGATTGATTTAGGTATTCAATGTGTTAACTTTGTCCTTGTTTCTTTCTGTTCTTTTATCAGGATAAATTGAAACCCTCTATTGTTCTTTTGATTTGCTTGGCATCAGTTTACAGAAGGAAAAATCCGGCTGTTACCAAACTCTTGGCTCTGATTGTATTAGCTCAAGAGCTTTTGCACTCTCAGACATTTGACCTAACCATTTTTTCCTTTGCAAGAGGAGGAAGGAAAAGAGGAGGGAGTGACATTTGCCTTTGACATCTTCATTGATGAGTGTCTTTGTTTGCTTAGCCAAGTGTGCTAAAATGCCAACAGCTGTTTGCAGTCGTGTAACCCTTGTACAGTTCCAAAGAAACTATTGGTTGATTAAGAAACACAAAGTTAAAGGGAAAAGGAGAGTTTACTTGCACTGCACCCTTTTTTTTTCTGTCTTTTCATACTTCACTTCTGCACTCTTGTTACTCATTAATGAAACTTTCCGGGTTTTTTTTTGTCTTAATTTACTGCTCACATTTCCCTTCTTTCTTCTTTCCTTTTTCTTTTTATTATTTTCTCTTTATCCTTTATCTTTCCTTTTCCCTTTGCTCTTTCCTTTTCCTTTCTCTTTTCCCTTTCTCTTCACTTTTCCCTTTCTCTTCTCTTTTCCCTTTCTCTTTTTCTTTTTTCTTTCTCTTTTTCTTTTTTCTTTTTCCTTTCTCTTTTCCTTTTTCTTTCTCTTTTCCTTTTTTTTTCTCTTTTCCTTTTTTTTCTCTTTTCCTTTTTCTTTCTCTTTTCCTTTTTCTTTCTCTTTTCCTTTTTCTTTCTTTTTTCTTTTTCCTTTCTCTTTTCCTTTTCCTTTCTCTTTTTCTTCTTGCTATCATGTTTAGTACTGCTATCATTCATATTTTGCCTTTGGGTATTGTAATTTACACAAAATTTTCACTGTCTTGTTATTCAGTGGTGTAGAATATCTCCATTGTCTGAATATCCATTTCACTTCTCAAGGTTTAAATTGCACTAATTTTATTGAAAATTTAAAAATTTACAAATCTCAGCTCTTTTATCTTCAGCCATCTGTTTAATTCATATAATACCTGATTTTATGTTATGTTAAAGTTAAAATATATTTTGCTTTACCTAAGTGAAAATTCACTTTAAGTTATCTATACACATGTAAAAAACAATATGTATCTATGTGTGTGCCAATACAGTAGATAATAACAAACTTGCTGTCACATAGCATTGGTTTAAAAAACAACAAATTCTGTCAAACATAAGTGCAACTGCTGGTTTTGTCCTAAGGTGATCTTCAGGCAATTTGAATTTTTATGATATACAAATATAGAAGAGATCACAATCACTTTGTAGGCAGCAGAGCAGGTATTTGTTTGTATTCCTACAGTTGGAAGAGTTCTTTAATGCCTGACTTTTATTTCATGCATAATTCACACCTCTTGGATCTGGATTTACATGCAAACTCTTTCCTTAATATTTTCCATTCCACATGCAGAATATTCCTGCTCTTGTTTTTCAACTCCCACAAATATGTTGGAAGTGTTATACTGTTGGCATATTAAGTTACATCATTATTTACATTTGGGCTATTGTCCTCATTTTTGTTCCTTCAGGTATCTTTTGGTCCTGATAATCTTCAGGGTATATCAAACTGAATCATTTATTTAATCTATGGAGGTAGATTATTCTAGTTCTGCTGTTCATGTCTTGGGATATTTTGTCTTTTTTAAATTATTTTTTAACCGTGTACAGCATTTTCACTTTCATTTATTTTCCATTTCAGTTTCCAAAAGATAAGGATACCAAGGATAAGCTGGGTCCGAGTGACCGAGACAAGAGCAAAGAATCGGTCATCAGCAGTCGTCCAGTTGTTACCTCAGCTTCAGTGGCCACAACCACTGTCACAGCAAGTACTTTGAGCACCACCACCCCAGCTAGTTCCTTGACTGGCACCAGTGTTAGCACCTCTCCAACCACAACTGCTGCCACCACAACAACTGCTTCTACCACTACTATCACTAGCAGTGTGGTCAGTAGTGTCCCACAAACCACTTCTGCGTCAACCAACACAATCATTAGTAGTGTTAGTTCATCTGTCACACCAAGCAATCTTACTAATCGAGCTGTAGTTAAGGGTACAAAGCTGCTTTCTAAGCAGCCAGAAGCTCCCAAACCTTCAGCAGTGCCTGAAAATGGCATCACGAGTATCCCAAAATTTTATTTTCCCAATGGCCGTCCAGCCCCTTCAGAGGAGATTGAAGCCACCCTTCAGAATGTGGCAGCAGAGTTTTCTAAGGCAGAAGGAGGGAAAATATCAAAGCATAATATGCCTGTCATAGTTAAGGTAAGAACTGTTTGTTAATCATTATCCTGTAGAAATGTTTATTTTTTAATTTCAGTCTGAGTTTCTGGGATGATGAGTGATCATTATTGATATTATTGAGTGATCATTATTGATATTATTTACATACATACTATTGTTCTCATTGTTATTACAACATTTCAGCTGTTGTGACCTCCAGCCTTCATCATGTTATTGTCAATCTGGGTAACCTTCAAGGAATTTTGAACTGAATTTATTTTATTTAATCTACAAGAGTAGATTGTTCTCATTCTGCTATTCATGTCCAGAGATATCTCCTCTATTTTTTATTTGGTATTGCTCAGTTATTGTCTATATTTCTGAGATGATGTATTATGTACATTATTTACATTAGTCGGACTATTGTCCTCATCTTTGTCGCCATATTTGTCACGTTTTCGCCGTTATGCGCTCCGCCTTCTTCAGGTGGTTGGAATTTGAACTGAACCCTTTATGGCACAGTGGATAAAGGCGTTGGTTAGATCCAGTGACAGACCCAAAGAAGGTGAGTTCAATTCCTGATTAAAGGCAGTGGAGAACTTTCAGAGGGAAAATTAGCAGGAGATAACTGATAACTGACATCCATCAAACATGGCACGTGGAATTAGAACAGTCTACCCCAGCTGATCGAAATAAAGGGTTCAGTTCAAATTCCAACCACCTGAAGAAGGCCGGGCGCATAACGGCGAAACGTTGTGACAAATATGGCGACAAAGATGAGGACAATAGTCCGACTAATGTAAATAATGCTCAGTTATTGCTTGTTTCAAATTTACAGATTCTTTAATTCACTAGTCTGTTGGACATTTCTGAGTGGAGAGCTTGTTACCTTAAACCTTACCTTCTTGCTGATGAATGCTGCTACTTGTCCTGTTTGACTGCACACGGGCTTCACTTTTTACTACAGCTGCTGTTGAAGCTTTGCTGTCAGTTCTCTTTATTTATTAATAACTCAAATATCATATTTACTTCTATACAAGGCCTACTAAAAAGGTTCTCATAGCTTAGCATATGAGCAGATTCTTTCAGACATCTGTTCCTCTCTGGCCATTATTTTTACTTCATTCCACAGGGGTTATGGTCTGCTCTTTTCTCTTATTTTTTTAGTTCATTCAAAATAAAAAAAAACTCGAGCAAGATCTAATTCTTAATATCATTGTATGCTATCTATTGAGTCAAGAAACATTTTAAGGTTCTATATCCATGTATTATCATGCTTCATATCTGTATATTCATAGTATCTCTAATCCTTTCAGTTTTCCTATTATTTTCCAAATGGCAAGTTCTACTGCCAAAAGTTACCTTACTACTCATGAATCCATTATTGATTTTTGGGATAGAAACTTTTTTTTGTCATTCAGTGTTTATAAATAAGGTTCAGTGCAAAACTTGAAAATATTGGAATATATTTGTTATAACCAGTAGTTAGTTTGGTTTTTTCAAGGTCTGGATGCTGCAACAGTTACAGAGAAAAATGGCAGAAGAGGAAGTTGTAGTAAAAACAATAATAAGGAAAATTATTTTTTTCATAAAGTGTATATAAATTTATAGATAAGCTCTTATTTAATAATGTAAATAATTTCCTGTAATATTATAATATGTAAATCTATAACATATTAAAAAATTCACTATGGGATTTCTCTTGTTCTAATTTGTAGACGGTTAAATCTGGTTTCTGTTTATTTTATGATTTCTATTTATCTCCATTCCATTCATAAAAAGGAAGCTCAGCTTTTTCCTGAGGACTGCTATTCTGTAGAACAAACTCCCACGTTCATGCTTCCCTGAACACTATGAGCTTAACCTCATCAAATTATGGTTCAATCATTGTCTATCCATTTTACCTCATAATCATCACTTCCTTCTATCTCCTCTCATATTCAGTAACCCTCATGAGTTGCTCTTGAACCTTGTATTAAGTGAAACTTAGTTAAAAAGAAAAAAAATGTAGTAGAAATTACTGTTGCTGTTAATAATTTAAGATAAAAACACTGGACAACATTTAAGGATTGTTTAATGTAGGATATACTTGAAGGACACATTAAATGAAATATGATAAAAATATAAAAGTTAGTCAAAAATTAATACCTTTTCTTCTTTAACTTAAAAAGATTTAATTGTAGAAGTACACGAAGCAAACAAAAATGAACACATGTCTCATGTTCTTGAAACTATTTCTCACTATTTATAAATTTATGTACATTTACAAATCTACCATGCATCTGTGCATTGAATATTGCTGCTATATCTGGTCTAGTGCTCTGGCTATATATCTTGAGATTCTTGACAAAATTCAAGGAAGAGTCTGTAATATAATCGGTACTAACCTGGCATTTCGACTTCATTCACTTCTCCACTGCTGTGACATGGCTTCCCTCTGTCTTTTCTATAAATATTTTCATGGCAGTTGTTCTTCTTGATAACTGAACTGCATGAATTTAAGTTTATAACTAGATTGGCAACTAGGTCTCATTGTTTTACTGATCCTTATGCATTTGTGAGATCAAGCCAAATTACATGAAGCTCAGTTTTATTTTGTTTGGTTGATAGGATTGAGTTCCAAGTCATGTGAGAATGTTTTCATTGTTTCTCAGCTCTAGAGATCACTAAGATCCTTTCTTTAATATCCTTAAACAAGTCTTTAAGGCTTACCCTCTCATGAATTGGAGCTTCTTTGAGTTGGCGCTTCACAAATCTTTGCTCTGCTCTTAGTTTATCCTTCTAAATCTGTCATCTGTTTGATAGCTTCTCTTCTTGTATCCCTTCTTGCAGTCACCACACCAAACCACTCAAGACAAACCTTGTGCACAACTCTGCAGAAAAGATCTGATTTGCTGGCTAATGGGGCCCTTTATATGGTAAATATTAATGAGGATTCTTGATCAAGATTCAACCAAGTAGCTCTCTGATTGCCTGCACCATTGGATTCTTGGAATTTCACCAGGATGCTGATGCTCAGCAATGGGATCCTGAAAACTGTGGGTGTAATCCAGATTCACAATCCCATCATTCAACTTACATTCTCCAATAGGGGAATTGTGTTGCCTGCCTGAGTGTGTTCTGTGTATATGTAAACCTTGCAACAATCACACATTGTAGCTTGAAACCAAATGGAGAAGTGAGAAGTTATAAAACAGTTTTGTTAGAGATAAGAGGCTTCAGTGTCAGAATTTCCAAGATAATAAATTATCTCTGGGAAGAGGATATATTAAATCAGTAAAACATCAAACTCAGTACACATGCTGGATTGCCTCACCCACAAGGCTGCATTTCTAAGAAGCACATCAAGAAGACAGGATTGAGGTTCACTATTCAGAAAGATATTGAGCTTAATAAAATTGATTGGATTACTTTCAAGCTATGATTATTTATGAGAGATTTGCAGGAAGGATTTTGTTAAGTGATATCATTATTTATGCCTTTGTTTTCATCAAAATGTCTGATGTTTGTTGATGTAACTGTCTTCAGGCCTTTAGTGACATCCATGTTATTTTTGCTAACTTCATAATTACTATGATCTGGACAATATTGGCCCTTTCTACAATCTTCAATTTCTACAATTTTATTTTGTGTTTTTTGACACTTCTGCATGTAACATTTTTTCAAACCATGATTCATATGTTCTGTAGCTGCTTTGAAATCTTGGTAAATTTTTATTAATTTTTTTTTTCTTTTGTTGAATTTCTTTTCTTTTTTTTTTCTTTTGTTGGATTTCTTTTCTTTTTTTTTTCTAATTTCTTTTTTTCAATTACTTTCCTTTAAATTGCTATTTTTGTCTAATTTGCTTTTTAATTTTTTCCTTTTAATTTTTCTTATTTCTAACTTCTCTATCAATCTATATATAAACTCTGTCATCAATCATTAAAAACTGACATTTTTTTAAAGTTTTCGTCTTTTGTGTTTCTTCAAGATGTTGGTGATCATGGCTGTCCACTACTTCTTAATCTTTTGCAACATTTTTTCCCATTAGGCTCATTTAAACAGAAGAAAATAGATATTTAGTAAACTGGCTTTTGGGAGAAACATGATATCACTCTACAACAGAGGCTCTAGATATATACCAAACCTTACATAACCTGGTATGAGGTCATAATATTGTAGAATCCAATACCAATTGGACTCACTGAAGATATCTTCTTTAACCTTTCTTGAACAAAACCAATTGATTGAAAATATGACTGTTTTACTAATTGATACAAATTTTACAATTTATAGTATAACATTTACCAGAATGAAAAGAAAACTACTTGGTAATACATTAAGATAGTTTAGTGGAGGAAACAGCATCACATTTGTGAGATTAAACTATTAAACATACCTCAGATATATATATATATATATATATATATATATATATATATATATATTAGGGGGGAAAGGAGTTTGACAAAAGAAAAAAAGTTGTGTGACACATCTTGTCTTTGAGGACTTCATTGGAGTAAGTTTCTGTTGATGTGATTAGGCAGTCTCTCTTCATGTGTGTGTGTAATATATATAAAGTATCACCTCAAGCAAGGCAGTACGTTTTGTACACCAGTTTTGACCTTGTGGAATTGATCAGCTTTACTACTGAGGCAGGAGTATATGGTAGTGTCATCAGCATAAATGCCAATTAAAGCTGATGTCATTGGGGAGGTTGTTAATGAAAATTAAAAACAGTGTAGGACCAAGGATCAAGCCCTGGGGGGACACCCATGTTAGTATTAAAGGATGTAGATGAGTGGCCATTCAGAAATTCTTTAATTCAGGAATAAATGGATCAATCCAAAAATATACCTAGAGATACTGTAACTTGTGGAGAAGACCCTGTCAAAGGTTTTTTGATGTCCAATGCTACAGCCCAGTTGTCACCATTTTTATCACAAGCATGATAGACTCTTTCTGCAATTATCATTAGTACATCAGCAGTTGACCTGGAAAAACAAAGGCTACATTGCTTGTCTGAGAAAAGGCTCTGCGATAAGAGATGCTGAACCAATTCA